TGCATTGAGTCTCTTCTGTCCTAGGTCATAGAACTCTGTGGATGAAGGATAGGGCCTTGCTGCCAAACCTGCACGGGACTTAGTAGGACTAATCTCTACTCTGGTATCTGGAGACCTGGGCATGAGCGGCGAGCGCTCGTTAAACAACTCGTCTAGCCCAATGACCAGTACTGTCCAGCAGATCTGCTCAGTTTCAGTGTAGAGGGTCCGAACTCTGAGCTGCAGGCTGAAACGGAGGCCGTCTTTAAGTGTTGAGGGCCTGTTGGAACCACTCCCCTACCAGACCAAGTAAGGCTGATGATCTGTGTTTGACGACTCGACTRTCCCGGGGGATACGAACCCTCCCAAGGACCGGTACAGACCGGCGGGCTGCTCGGTGTGGCACAGTAGGCCGGAAAGGCCGAGTTGTGGGCTGAAAGCACAGGCAGAACCAAGCTGATCGCGTCGTCCTATATGCGACGTTAAAGAATTCTTGAGGAGTTACGGGGGATCTCCTTAAATGCCTCCTGATCAGCCACTGGTTCAGTAGTGACAGCCATAGCATAGGTCTAGGCTAGAGACCATAGTTGACAGGGTCCTTGTCAGGATTCTGTAGGTTCTTAGATTGAGTCTACAGGTTTGTCAGTCAGGGGTTAGAGTCTACGTGGTAAGGAGTGGAATCATCCTRATTGTGCACCTATCACCATGGTTGAGACCCGTACTGGGCTAGAGACTAACCCCTATAGCAAGGAGCAGCAAGAAAAGATGGCCGCCTTAGTCAGAGAGAACAAGGAGAGAAAAGAGCGCGAGAAGCAAGCGAAGCTAAAGGCTATCGCAGATGAGCAGGCGGCGAGGATGAAGAGGTTGGAGGAGGAGATGAAGAGGGTACAACAAGAGGAGGAAGAAAGGAAGGCTGCTGAAGCAGAAGCGGCAGCAGAAGAAGAGAGAGAGAATGAGAATTGAGAGTGGAGAAGGGAGCAGTGGTGGCACGATGAAGTGGGAGACAGATACTGAGCTGGAGAAGAAGATCAGCGCGTGGGTCGCTAATTTATCGTTGGGGGAAGACGAGGAGGCGGAGTCCTATGTGACTAAGAATGAGAAGGCTGCGCTGGCCGCTGAGCTAGCAGCCATGACAGACCCAATGGAACGAAGAGAGAGGGAAGACGAGCAAAAGTTAGCATGGAAGTTGAGAATGAAGAGGGAGAAAAAGAGGAGGAGAGAGGAAGTGAATAAGATAACCGCAGCAATGGCAAAGGTGCAGGAGTGTAGAGCGGAGGTGCTGGCCCAGCCAGAAGATAAGGCCAAGTGGGACAAAGTGCAGGGATATCTGGAGGTGTTGAGCAAGGCCTGGATGGAAGAGCACCAGGCCAGCTGGAGCCAAAACGTAGCCTGGAGTATCATGCGGTCAGGGTTTAGAGACTTTGCGCGCGAGATCGTCACCCATATTGGGGGCGAAGTCAAACAGTTGAGAGACAATGTACGGAAGTTTTGTGAGGGCGCCATTCAGGGTGCCAAAGCTGTAGCCGCCCCAGAAGGAGAGGCCAGGCCCTGTAAGGACCCAGTGAAGCTTAAGTTTTCGGATGCGTACAAGGGAAAGAAGGAAGAAAATTTTGACAACAAGGAAGCCAATGTCAATAGTTATATTTACTTGCAGCATATCCTGGCCAAGGAACAAGTCCTTGTGGCCTTCCAAACCCTCAAAGATGAAGCGGCTAGCTTCGCCAGGTCTCTTGCGCGTGCAGCCGGTTGTGAAAACAACCTGGTTGCATATTCCAAAGTCACTCCTTTTTCCCAATTCCTCAAGTTCCTCAAGGAGCGGTTCGCTGACCCAACACGAGGCATTAGAGCCTCTGATAAGCTCCAAACGATCCACTCCCGGCAGTGGAGGAGTGCCAAGGCACTCAAGGGTACCATGGACGACTTGGTAGCCGTCCCGGACCACGGGGTCACTGAGCCCCAATTGGTCCAGTTGTTGTATCGTGCCATTCCAGAGGCCCTACGCGGGCATTTCTTTGACAAATCTCAGCACGCCAGCATGACTTACGATGCATTGAGTAGAAAAGTCGTCCTGTATGAGTCGAAGTCTATGCCAGTTACCACTTTCTGGCATAAGGACCTGGAGAAGGGGAAGAAGTGGAAAGATCGTACCATCTCGGGCCAAGTCAAGGCCAAGGATCACTTGATCCTGRCATTARAGGAGGGTGGTACARAARAGGTCYCAWATSATCAGATTGAGTGGGGCCTAGGGGAGGAGTACAGTAGTGTAGGGCAGGGGAGGTCTTACGCTGCTGTCGCGGCCGGAGGGAGGCCGCAAGGTAGAGGAGGAGGCCAAGGCCAAAGGGGCCAGGCCATGGGAGGCCGAGGACCGGGCGCACAGGGGGTTGGCGGACAGGGAAACCACCAAGCAGGAGGTAGGGGTCAAGGTCCCCCGTTGAATCGCCAGGGTAACCGGTCCCCACAGCGAGGAGGTGGAAGGGCACCTCAAGGAGGATGGCATCCAGGCTTGCCGCAGGGCAGGCCCTGGGAAGACTTGGGCTTGGACCAGCGATTATGGCAGGAACGCGTGAACATAGGTCAGTGCGTATTCTGTGGTGACCCGGCGCACGTAATTAAATTTTGTCCAAAGTATAAACAGGCCCGTTGGGCTTCTCAACAGTCAAAAGACAGCCGCCACTAGGGGTCGCAACTGCCCCTACTTCCAGGCCATGTGGAGAAGTGAGCGCGCACGAACAGGACACTCCCAACCCACATGAGCCTATGGCAGAGGTTGCAGGCCCGTGCCTAGATAGTTGTCCAGAGACTGCTTGTGTTAGCGTCTCTTTAGGCACGTCCCTCACAGGCGTGGCAGAAGAGTTAAAGGAGAGGATGCCAGCCTGGGCCAAAATGAAAAGGGAGAGTAAGGGACAGTTGATTTTGGTAGATGTAGAGGTGTTCAGAAGTAGAGTAGGGGCCCTTATAGACTCAGGGGCTACCCGTAGTTACATTAGCCGTAGGGCGCTGAAGAAGCTGAGGGTAGGACTAAAGGTCCAGAAACTAGTAGACCCCATAATCAGTGTCCTCGCAAACAACCCCACGATGCGCGTTGAGGACTATGTAGAGGGAGTCCACGCGTACTTTCGCCTAGAGAAGAATGGAAAAGTGGAGAAGGTCCTCCATTCTTTGACTCTCCTCGTGCAAGATGACCTTCCTTTTGATATAGTGTTGGGAATGGATTGGGGAGAGGCAACAGGGGCCACACTTCATTTGAGAGAGCATGTGTAGGCTCCCTAGCCCGACAGGCGAAGTTAAGACTGACCGCTTGTTCCATGTGTCGGGTGTAGACAACACCTTGGCACATTGCTGTCTCAGTGCTCCCGCGTTCGCGCGATTAGTCAAAAAGGAACAGTTAGAAGATCAGGTCTTTGTAGTTTATGTTAGACCAGTCACTGAGGCCCAGGAAAAAGATAGTTCCACAGATCCAACAATTGCCAAGCTGCTGGAAGAATTCAAAGACTTGACTGAGTCGCCGACAGGAGTAGTGTCGCGACCCATCCAGCACAGGATAGAGATAGAGCCTGGCAGTAGAACTCCTAAGGGTGCAGTCTACAGGATGTCCCCTAGAGAGTTAGAGGAGCTTCGCAAGCAGTTAGACGAACTCCTTGAGAAGGGTTGGATCAGGCCCACTTCGTCTCCTTTTGGAGCACCAGTCTTGTTTGTCCCCAAGAAGGAAGGAGAGCTTCGTATGTGCATAGACTATAGGGGTTTGAATGCGATCACCGTGAAGAATGCTGAGCCGCTGCCCAGGATAGACGATCTTCTAGATCGGGTGCAGGGTTGTAAGTATTTTTCTAAAGTCCGGATACCATCAAATAGAAGTCCACCCTGATGATCAGTATAAGACGGCATTCCGGACTAGATACGGGCACTATGAGTTCATAGTGATGCCCTTTGGACTAACCAACGCGCCAGCTACTTTTCAGCGTTGTATGAATGACCTGTTTAGACCATGGTTAGATAAGTTTGTAGTAGTCTATCTAGACGATATCCCAGTTTTTAGTAAGACCCTCCAGGAGCATCAGGGTCATCTGAGGCAGGTCTTGGAGAAGCTTAGAGAGGCTAACTTCAAGATCAACGCAAAAAAGTGTGAGTGGGCCAAGACGCAAGTTTTGTACTTGGGCCACGTATTAGACGAAGATGGCATCAAGCCAGAGGACAGCAAGATCGCGGCGATTAGAGATTGGCCGACGCCCCGCACATTGACAGAGTTGCGGTCGTTCCTAGGCTTAGCTAACTACTATAGGAAGTTCGTGAGGAACTTCTCCACTATCGCCGCTCCCTTGCACCGATTGCTGAAGAAAGAGGCAATCTGGCAATGGGACAAAGACTGTACGTCTGCGCTCAAGAAGCTAAAGCGCGCGTTAATAGAGTATCCTGTCCTCAAAGTTGCAGATCCGTCTTTGCCATTTGTCGTCACCACGGACGCGAGTCAGTATGGGATAGGCGCCGTGTTGCAGCAAGACGACGGCAATGGCTATAGACCCATAGAGTTCATGTCAGCGAGGATGCCCTGTGAAAAGGTTGCTGCCTCCACGTACGAAAGAGAACTCTACGCTCTCAGGCAGGCTTTAGATCATTGGAAGCACTACATGCTTGAGAGGCACTTCAAAGTGTATTCGGACCGCGAAACGCTTAGATGGTTAAAGACTCAGGCCAAGATGACACCTAAGTTGACTAGGTGGGCCGCAGAGATAGACCAATTCGACTTTGAGCTCAAGCCAGTGAAGGGCAAGTACAACGTAGTTGCGGATGCTCTGAGTAGGAGATCAGACTACTTTGGAGCTGTAGTACACTATCTGGATAWAGGGAGAGACCTGCAGGAGAAAGTGAGGCAAGCATATGCGCAGGACCCTATCTATAGCGACCTCCTAAAGAGAGTTAGAGAGGCCCCAGAGACTGAACCAGATTACCGCACTACAGACGGGTTGTTGTTTGAGAAGACTAATGTGTTTGACCGCCTGTGCTTTCCCAACAGCGAAGAGATCCGCAGTTTGATTTTAGGGGAATGCCACGATACTGAAGGGCATTTCAGTTGGCAAAAGACATTAGCCAACCTGATGCGTGCGTATACCTGGCCAGGGATGAAGAATGACTGCATAGAGTATGTCCGCAGTTGTAAAGTGTGCCAGAGGAATAAGTCTACTACACGCGCACCCCTAGGTCTTCTCAGACCCTTGCCTATTCCGGATCAGTCGGGAGACTCCGTGTCCATAGACTTCATGGACACCCAAGTCAAGAGTAGACATGGTAAGAGCCAAGTCATGGTCGTAGTGGACCATTTTAGTAAATATGCAGTTTTCGTCCCTTTGCCTGTAGAGGCACGTACGGACTTAGTTATACAGAAGTTTTTTGACTTTTGGGTTAGTGAGAATGGAATCCCAGTGTCAATAGTTAGTGATAGAGACAATTGTTTCACCAGCCAGAACTGGCAAGAACTCATGAGAGTCTACGGATCTAAGTTGTTAATGTCGTCCGACCGTCACCCAAAGACTAACGGTCAGACAGAACAGATGAACAAGATCCTACAGCAAGTTCTGCACATGTACATTAGACCAGATCAGATTAATTGGGATGAGATGTTGCCTAAGGTAGCTAGTGCATACAACAACAGCGTGCATCTATCCACCTGCCGCACTCCCAATGAGTTGCACAAGTCCTCTAGACCGCGCAGACCGTTCGAAGGACTGGACCGGGATCAGATTCACAGATTACCGCCCGGTACCAGAGAGTTTGCGCTACAGCACGAAAAGGAGTTAGCCACTGTTGTTAAGAACCTTCGGAAGGCCCAGCACAGAATGATAGAGCAGGCTAACAAGCACCGTCGCCCATCACAGTTTCAAGTAGGCGACTTAGTCTGGGTCAAGGCAAAAGAGTTTGCACCGGAAGAAAACATCTCGCAGAAGTTACTGCCTGCATATAGAGGACCGTGGCCGGTTCTAGAAGTCAAGGGCGGAGAGGATGGACCATCCTACAGCATTGAGATTCCAGCACACCTCCACATATACCCTGTGTTTCATGCTTCAAAGCTRCTGCCGTGTGTCACTAGTCAACAGTTCCCTTCCAGGAGATCCATGATCCCACCGGATATGGATGGGAGCTATGACATAGAGGGCATTGTAGAAGAGGATGTGTTTAGGACAGGAGGTAGAGGTCGTCCCCAAAAACAGTATAAAGTCCGGTTTGCCTATCAGGAACCGGAAGACGACCGCTGGTTCACGAAAGCAGAACTTCTAGAGACTGCTCCCGACATAGTCAGAGCCTATGAGCG